TGAATAAATCATTGTGTTTTCCCTTTAATATTGTTTTTGAATTGTATCTTTAAATGTATAACTGCTAATTTTATGAAAGATTACTATTGTATGATTGTATCTTTTCGTTTATTTTTTTAAACAATAGAAAAAACTACGAATGAACTATTATATCTTTTCGTTTAATATTATTTTCTAATTGTATCTTTTGTGTATAACTGCCAGTTTTATGAAATTTTACTATTGTATGGTTGTGTTTTTTTTTTGGTTTTTGAATTATACATTTTTCGTGTATAACTACTAGTTTTATGAAATGTTATTATTGTATGGTTGTGTCTTTTCGAGTCAGGCTACTTTAGCTAAAGCTTTTAGCCAAGTGTATAATGTAGATCACGACACCTAGATGTTAGGCATAGCACGATAGGTGAGTTGATCACTCATGGGATAATTACCGTAGGATTTGTTTAGTCTCAACAAAATCTAGCTGATCACTTGACAAAAGTATAACCTAGGGACTTCGTGATCAAGTCGGTTAAAGGGATGAGATTAAAGCCCATTTAAAATCTTCAATGATAGGATTCCTAATTCTCTTTTGATACAACGTTAGAGGCTGAATTCAATGTGGAAAGCAAATATCATCCCAAAATAAGTGCTTAGACCTGCAAGAAAGAATTATGATGAAGGTTTCTTATTAAAAGATCGTTTGAAAAACTGCATTTTTTAAGGTGCAAGATTAAAAGTATCTACCTATATAAGTGTGAAGTGTTGCCACTTCAAGAAGTAAGTTAGGACTTGGCTTTGTATATGCTCATCAATGGATATGGACATATGACTTATAATAGTGTCAAGTATAAACACTTAGAGTAGTGTGGAAATTTGTTTGTGTAATATCATCGTGTGTCCAAAATGGGTTGAAAGGATTCAATCCATAGGAATCCTGATTCTCGGGCATTTGGAATGTGTAATATCCACTAAGATGAATTCAATCATAACGACATTTTCATTTATGCATGAATTTGTTATATGTGTTGTTTATTTAGTGAATCTATGATTATACTTAAACGAGGAAGGAATGTTGGAGTTTTAAGTGATACACTTATTTTAGTAAATCATTCTAACTCTTGATATTATAGTTATTTTACTAAACATTGCAATTTTTTAGATTATGTTTATTTTACCAACCATTGCAACTCTTGAATTTATGGTTATTTACTAAACATTGCAAACTCTTGAGTTTATGGTTATTTTACCAACCATTGCAAGTCTTGAATTTATGGTTATTAAACCATTGCAACTATTGGGATTATGGTTATTCTAAACCATTGCAACTATTTTTTTGTACCCCTTGGAATTCTATAAAAGGTTGAAAAATCTTTGGAAAGAAAAAAAATATAAGAGAAAGTAATTGCAAACAACAACCAGAAAAAAAAACATAATAACAAACACAGAAAACTCAATTTGTATTTTTTGTATTTTAGCATTTAACAAGAGGTAAACTTTGATTGTATTATCATACAATTATCATACAAGAGATTTCTTATAACCAAATGCTTCATAAAAGTTAAACTACTCTTTAAGGAAAGTGTCTCGTTACATGATTCAATCATTATCCAATTTCACAATTTATTAAGATCTTGGTTCAGCCACAACATTTTTTATTAATAATAACAATAGGAAAAATAGATAAACGATTGAGAAATTCTATAAAACAATAACAAACACAAAAAACTCTATTTGTATCTAAGTTATATTAGCCTAGAACAAGAGAAAATTTTTGATTTCTTATCCTACAAGGGATTTTCTGTAACCCAAGGCTTCATAAGGTCAAAATACTCTTTAAGGTAAATGTTTTGTAGACGATTCAATCATTATCCAAGTTCACATTTTTTTTTTAAATCTCGGTACAACCACAACATTTTCTATTTCCATTTGTTCATTCATTAATTTTAATTATATTTAGCACACAAATTCTAAGTCTCCATAATGTACTATTAATATCACACAATTAAGAATAATATGTTAAATGCTATATAATATTATAATTTTATGACAATTTTAAGTTTTTGAAAGATAATGTTGACTTTAAATGTATCAAAACTAATTCTAATAGTTTAAAATCCAAGTATTTTCCAAAATTTTTACAGATCATAACAACTTTGATTTTTGTTTCTCTACAAAATTTTTCACTAGAATTTTACTCTCTTTATTTGGAGATTCTAACATTTCATATCATGATAATTTTTTTTAACTTCTCATTGTAAAAATATATCTATCAATGATTGAGTTCTATCAATAAAATTGATCATGTTGGTTATAATTGTTGTTTAACTTTTTCTCAAGATTAATTATATAGTTATCTTTTATATGGATGCATATGTTGAGTTATACATTGTTACATTAATTGTAAACAATGAACTCAATTAGAAATGTGTATTAATTTTTTTGTACGACTTCATTCATCTTTGTATTATTATATTTTTGAAAGTCATATTTATTTATTTTTTATAATAGTAGTTGTTTTTTAAAGAAACTGAAGATTCACATCTAGATATCATCACCTTTTGTTATATATATATTTAAAATAATCAAGAGTTTCAAATACTTGATTTCTCCTGCGATTTCGCGGAGGTTTGAGATCCAGTATATATAGAACTAGTTAAAATCTGTGTGATACATGGATAGAAAATAAAATATTTAAATTCAGAAATTTTATAATTTGTGCTATTCTGAGACACATATTTAGTTCTTATATCAAGACCTGCATTTAGTTGTTAAGAAACTGGTTTTGTTAACCTCAGTTGAAAAAAAAAATACAAAATATATACAAGTTACCCATAAACCCAAGAAATAATGCCTCTAAATAAAAGAGAGAGTTTAAAAAATATGTTTGAAATCTTATATAATTTAAAACTGAATATAATTGAAAATTAATTATCAGATTTTTTCAAAAAAAAAAAGATAATATCTTCTAAAACTAAATCTGAATTGTTATGACATGTTTGATATTTTTTTATGTATAATTTAATTGTGAAAATTCAGACATGTAAACTTCAAATTTGAATTCTTAACATATGATAACAAATTGATATTATTCTAATATCATATACCATAAATCTTATATAGATTTTAGATTTTTTTTTTTTTTTATAGTTTCTATTTTTTCTTACTTTATGTTTTTTAGATTTTATTGTTTTTGTTGGGGTAGACATTTCCCCTTAGAAAAGGTGAATCACGTCACAGATTAGAATGCAGCCACTAGACCTAAAGATATACCACTAAGAAGGAATGCATTTATCAGGCTAAGTAGTCGAAACATAGGACATCTTAGGACATGTTATATGCGGCCATCTTTTCTCAAATCTAGTGGCTTTAACCGAAAGAGTGAAAAATATATAAGAGATGAGTGCTCCAGGAGCGCTTTGTGCTAATTGTTCTGTCTTTGTATTTTTTTTTAGTGTAAATAGAAAATAAAAAGAAAACTTATTTGCTCCTCTTGATTTCTTTCAAAGGGGTTTTTGCTAAAAATAACCCAAAACTTGACTTTGAATACAAAAGTAAACCCCTGAAAAAACATTTGGCAGAAATAACCTAAAGGGGTAGTGAAAAGACCATTTAATCATGTATGAGTAAACAAAAAACGGATGTCCTAATTACCGTTTACTTCCTGACGAAGTCTACTAAAGTGAAAATGAAGTCTATTAGTAGACTTTATTTTATCGAAATGAAGTCTACTAAGTAATTAAATCTGTAAATTTAATTTTAAAATTTTTAAAAAATTATTTTGGTATCAAAGTTACCATCATAAATTCCGTAATCGTAACCCAAATGTACAGAAATTATTTTTTCATATTGGTAAATGGAAATATATGTTTTTAAATTAAGTAAAAGTAAATTTATTATTTAGGTTTTAAAAGTTGTAGACTTCAATATAGAAGTCTACTAAACCGAATAAATTAATCTAACGGAAATTTAAACCGAAATTAAACCGGGAATAACTTCCCTTAACCAAGAGAAACTGCCTTTAACCGGGTAAATTTACCTAGACCCTGGAAAATTAGTAACCTTAACCGAAAAAAACTTACCCGAACCGTACGGAATTACCAGACTATATATACGAATTTAACAGATCCCGTTAAAAAAAAACCGTCGAAAGTTCGTGTAAAAAAAAAAGTCGAAGGCGATTTCTGTTTCTCTGCTCCGGCGCTGCTAACATACAGAACCGCCACCGATAAACTCGTTCAGGCAAGTTTTCTTTCTCCAACCACACCCCCATGCTTCCCTACTCCTCCGTATTCATCACCTTTCCGTTTTCGTAACCCCCAGTTTCCAGATCGGAGATTAGGGTTTTGTTTTTTTTTTTTTGCAGATCTGCTTTCGCCGTTGGAGGTTAACGTCATTTCCTGCCTCAAAACGGTTAGTAGATGTTGTTCCGAAGTTATATACTTAGCAATTCTTAAATTTCTTCTATCTTCCTGTAATTTTTTCCGTCAGGTTTGACTTAGGTTTTTTTCCCAGATCTGGTTGTATTTTCTCGATGCCAGCTTCATCTAATAAAGGCGGTTAACACTATAAACTTTGTAGATTCCATTTCGATGATTTGTTTTAGTAGACTTCATATACAGTATTTATCATGTATTGATTGCTTCGGTTGGGTTCTGTAGACTTCAGATGCAGTATTTATGATGTTTTGATTGCTTCATATACTGTTTTTTTGATGTTAAGATTGCTTCGGTTGGCTTCAGTAGACTTCTCGACTCGGATTGTACTTAGAATGTGAAAGTAGACTTCATTTTGTGAAAGTAGACTTCTTTTTGTGAAAGTAGACTTCATTTTGGGAAAGTAGACTTCATTTTGATAAAGTAAACTTCATTTTGATAAAGTAGACTTCACTTTGATAAAGTAGACTTCATTTTGATAAAGTAGACTTCATTTTGAAAATGTAGACTTCATTCGTGTATAGTTTCAAACCGTTTTTCTCATTAGAGCTTTGTTACCGTTGATGCAGGAATCTTTGTTGGATAATGGTGGCCTCTGAATTCCCCAGAAGACTTTACACCAAAGGGTTTGAGCCAGCCCCGGATAAAAGCATCGGCTATTACGCTGATGATTATAGGCTGGTCCCTGCACTAAAGTCAGCTCTAGAAGAGGATGAATGGGAAGAGATTTACGAGTCACCGTTGGGTGTCTTTTTAAAGTTCCACGAGTTGGATTTTGGTTGGGCTTCTAGGCTGGTGCACCACATGCTGACCTTTCAGATAGTTTGCAAGCAGAGGTACGAGATATGGAGCCTGATTGGTACCACTCCAGTTCGGTTTTCATTGCATGAGTTTGAGGAGATCACCGGACTCAACTGCGGGTACGTGGATGACTTGGCTTTAACTGATCTTGCGCTTGTCGATGACATGCGTGCATTTTGGGAGCTAATGGGGGTCGATGCCGAGTCGGGCCCAAGCACTACCAAAATTATCGAAGCCTGTTCCAACTGCTCATCATGGTCTCGTGATGATAGGCTGCGGTTGGGTTATCTTGGGATCTACGCTGGTTTCATAGTGGCAACGAGACCCGGCTCATCCACAAATGTCAACCATGCCAGACTAGTGATGGATCTCGAAGGTTTTAAGGAGTTTCCATGGGGAAGAATTGCTTTTCAGCATTTGATCAAGTCTGCTAAGGAGAAAGATCTCAGCAAAAACATTCATATAGAAGGATTTGTGCAAGCTCTTCAAGTGTGGGTGTACTATGCTCTACCGGATTTTGCTGCTGAATTTGGCAAACCATTGCCAAATGTTACTGAAGAACCTCTTTTGCTGGCTTACAAAGGATCCAGAGGACGAAAGAACGTCAAAGCCAACATGCTAAAACAGGTACTGTATTAGTGTAGTAGACTTTTATGTAGTAATGAGTTTTCAATGTAGACTTCAGAAGTAGACTTCATGTGTAGACTTCTATATGTATCATTAATGACATTCAGGAGTAGACTTCTGTGTTAGACTTCAGGAGTAGACTTCTATGTTAGACTTCAGGAGTAGACTTCATACGCAGTTTTCCGAGGCTTCATATGGCTCTAAATCCATTTTTTAATTGTGTTTTTCCAGGCTCGCATACAGTCCTGCATGGCTAAGGACTTGGAGGATATGTTTCCCGTGTGGGATGATGACAAACAGGATCCAGATATTGTCAAGATTGTCAATGCACTCCATGACCCCAATTTCAAGTTCTCAAAAAATCATTGGCCTTTGGAAGGTGTTTTGGGTGCACACATCGTCAAGTCAGAAGCCGGAAAGAGGAGCCTTCCCTCAGATGAATCAAGTCGCAAGAGACCCTGCACAGCCTCTGCATCTGCCGCATCATTCGTTGGTGATGAAGGGGTCGGAGTTGTCGCTACTATGAAAGCGCACTTCGACCAATGCTTCAAAAGCTTTTCAACCAAGATGCTGAATGGTCTTGGTAGCTGTGAAAAGCAGATCAAACGTCTCACCGAGAAGGTTGAATCTGTAGAGCGTGCGGTAGAAGAGTTGACTACAGGGTCGGCGAAGCACACTGAGAAGAGCCAACCCAGCAGCAGGGCACTGGATCCAAGAAACATGAAGGGGTTAGTACCAAAAACCCTCCGCATATACGAAAACATTACATGCGAACAAGATCACACAAAGTTAGGAACACTTAATACTAATGTCATTTGAATTTGAACATGTTTACTACTGTTATGTACCATGTGAGATTATTTACTTATGTTTTCAAAACTAGTTGTTTACAATTTTCAGACTATGATAAAACATGTTACTAAATTACAGCATTGGTGTGCTCATTTGTATATTCATGTCTGTTTCTGACAATAAACTGCAGAGTAATTCAGACAAAGATGATGCTCCGATGAAAGATAATGTCAACATTGGTGCATGTGAGAGTGTTAACGCCCCCGGGGATGCAAAAAGAAAGAAGGCTGCCGTGAAGGAAGAAGAGACCCCAGAGATGAAGGAAGAAGAGGCCCCAGAGCCTAGTTTTTGTGAAATTGACTCGAAGACGTGTGATGTTGACTTCGACGCGGTTGCACTAGCCAAAAATGCCAAAGCCAGAGAAGCGGCTCAGATAGTTTCCCGAGCAACGAGTGCCAGACACCGCCAGCTGGCTGCGACACAGAAGAGTCCGTTCTTAGGAAACAGCACCGCAAAGGCCATCATTCCATCGTCGGCATCTCACTCCGGCCGTGTCCGTGGATATGATCCTTTTGATCAAACCGGTGTCAAGGTGAAGCATACCGCTCTAATGAACTTTATCAGATCAAACCCGTAAGTAGACTTCTATACGTATGTAAGTAGACTTCCTCATAGTATTATTTCTTATCTAACTCTTTCACTTATACAGTGCCTATCCAAAACGCCCAAGACACTCTTCGATCGAGTGGTATTACATTCTCCGGACACCGACGAAATGGCTAGCTGATACGATTAGTGTTTTACTTTCTTATATTAGACTTCATTTTTAGACTTCATACGTAGACTTCTATAATAGACTTCGTTTACAGGATTTAGACTTCGTTTGCAGACTTCACTCATGTCTTATTTTCACCAATGTGCAGCACATGGAAGCTTACATCAACCTACTCAGGCTGCGATTATCCAAGCATCCGGAGTGGTTTGTATCCGACCGGATTTGCTTCCTCAACTCCATGTTTGCTACTGTTTGGAGGCGTGACTACAAAGACTTCAAAAAGTCTGAGCGGAATGCAGATGGATCTGGAAAACTTCTGCCGCCTGGAGCATATTCGTACTACACTGGCGAATTACCTATCTACTGCCAGACTAAGAAGACGTGGGCATATGATGTCGACTATTTGTACTCCATGTTGCACATTAGGGAGGACCATTGGGTAGCAATATGGGTCTCATTTGTGACGAAGCATATCACGATATGGGATAGCCATGCGGCCACCAAATATGCATCTGACGAGCAAATTGCCGAAGCTGTGGAGCCTCTTGCGCTTATGATACCCTACCTTCTTCAGACCTGTGCACCTGACGATGACAAGTGGAGATTCCCCTACACGTCGTTCACCCATTCGCGAGTACCAGGTACGGAGATACCTCAAAACATTCAGAGTGGTGATTGTGGAGTGTATTGTCTGAAGTACATCGAGTGTCATGCATTGGATTTGCCATTTCCTCCGGAACTTTGCGATAAAAACATTCAAAAAATCAGGGAGAAAATGGCTGCAGAGCTCTTTGACGAAACAGGTTGTAGGGGTCATGATAAGCTAGATGCAATCGGGCTGGATGTCTATGATAGGAAAGCTTAGTGTTTCCGTTCTTAAAACTAACTTTAATTTTTTTGACAACTTTTGGGCTACTTGCACAAATGACCTTCAATGTGATTGGAGGTCATTTTAGCAATTGGTAGATGATGGGTGTGGAAGTTTTTTGGCCACCTATCTTATAATTAACTTGCCAAATATGTTGTATTTTCGTTTAGGATATTGTACTCAAACTGAAGTCTATGACTGAAGTCTTTGACTGAAGTCTACTAATTTGTAATCGTAATTGTACTGAAGTCTACTAAGTCTATTAACATGTTAGTATTTCTAATTTTCGATTTCACCCTTACAACTGATTAAGTTCTGTAAAATATCATTGAGCATGTGGAAAAGAGTATACGGAAAAGTGTATACGGAAAAAGTGTACACCGATAGTGTACACGGAAAAAGATTTACAAACGAAGTGTACACGGAAAAGTGTACACGGAAAAAGATTTATTAAAATAAGAATTATTAGTCTACAAACGAAGTCTACAAACGAAGTCTACCATAGTCATGTAAACATATAAGTAAACCCAAAAAACATAAAACATGGAGTCAAATAATTTCACCGCGGCCATTCATTTGCAAATCCAGGAATTATTTTCCAGAATAAGGCACAATTCCAACTTCCAGAAGCAAGGACTGCAGAGTTTGTCACCATATGAGTCCACGAGGCGTTCATCATCCATCCAGTGCTGGTTTGGCAGATTCATACAGGCACAACTCCTTGATTGTGCATTATCAAAAACATGGAAGACCGGTTCGTGAAACGCGTCAGGCTTCTTATAAGTGGTCGGACACCTGTTTATGTGCTGCATAGTCTTCCTCATCTTCGTTGCCTCTGCCGGAACTATACCTCGAATGTGGTTAAATACATCATGGCTACCATCCATGGTTAAAGAGAACATAACCATGGAGTAAGTAGCCATGAGGCATCCTCCATTTGATGACACCTTTATTAACTCAAATCCTTCTTGGATGCTATCTTCATAGAAGATTAGAGAAACGGCTCGTAGGTATTGCGCTGTAGGATTTCTACACTCCAAACAGCGCCGAAAGAAAGCGTCAACCCTCCCATGTTGATCCCAGACCCATGGAATCGTCAAAGTTATTAGATCACCGGCTCTTAAAAAACCCTCTTCATTAGAAATCTCATTTAGATGTTTGGAGGAAACCCTTGCTCTACAGAGCCCACCGTAGGAACGAGAAGTGATTTTTAAGAGGATATCCCACAGAATGTCGGAAGGGAGAGAGTTGAAGTTTATCTTGTTCGACATCTTCAAGGGGTCTGGAATGAAACTGTAATTCGTCTAAACCCGAGAATTTATAAGCAAAAATACAGTACACAAACAGGTACAACGGTTATAGGCACCGTTAAAGTCGTTAAAGCAGCTACATATATGAAGTCGTTTCAAACATAACCGTCAACAAAATATCACATACACAGTAGACTTCGACAGTAGACTTCCCCAATAGACTTCTATAGTTGACTTCCTTGGCAGACTTCGTTGAGAACAATAGATGCTTTGTCTTCCTATTCCGGAGCCTTCTTGTTATTTTCTTGGTGAATCTTCGACGGCTAAGTATATTAAAAAAAAATTTCAACTTTGTTAGATGAGTTTAGCTCAACTTACACAATTCGGTAGGGTATGACCAGGTTGCTTGCATTGGGAGCAGCTTTATACTTTGTGCAGCTTCCTTGGCGTCTTGCTTTTCCTCCTAGCAATTTCTAGCCATGATTGCCACCGAGACTTCTTCCGTCTGCCTGGTGCACGGCGAATGTCTGGTGGCAGACATATTGATGTTGGGCCTCCTTGGACCTCTGCAATTTGGGGATATATGTTGGCAGAGTATGCGGCAAACAAGTAGTTTTTTGAGTAAGTCAGACATACTAGGGAATCCACAGCTATCCCACCGGCTAATGCAGCTGCAATAGCATGTGAACATGGGATCTTCTCGATATAAAACACACCACATTCACACATTCTATGTTCCAAATCAACAATACAATTCCTGGTTCCTCCTTTCACATAGTATCTCTAAGTGTCAATTCGGTCCACCTCCATTGCATCTGCATAATGTCCACGAATCGCCAGCAAATACTCCACTCCCCGAGTATTATGTGTTGTGAGACTCAAAGCATCCTCTCTGCTTTTTAAAAACCACCGACCGAGCTTCTCTCGTATGAAATCCAAGAGGAATGAAATGGGATAGCCACGGGCCTTCTTAAGTGCAGCATTTATAAACTCTGCAACATTGCTAGTCTTAATATTGTATCTGTCTCCAACAAAATGAACTCGGGACCAAAGAGAGACATCGGCTTCTTCCAAATAGTCAGCAAGGTCAGGCTTGATCTGTCTCAGCTCCGCCATGTACCGGTTGTAGTCATAGAGGTTGTAAGCATAAGCCACACGTTTAACCAAGTACAGCAACTGCTTCCCCCTAAACTTTGTTACTATGTTATGTTGTAGATGGTAGTAGCAGATCCCTCGTTTTGCCCATGGGAAAATAGTTTCACAAGCTTTCTTAATAGAAATATGTCTGTCAGAAACTATCACCAAAGGATAACCATCTGGGACACATTCACACAGTTTAGAAAAAAAACCATTCCCATGAAGCATCATCTTCACCATCAACAATTTCAAATGCCAAAGGAAAAATCTGAAAATTTCCATCTTGTGCGGTGGCAACCAACAAAGTACCCTCGTATTTCCCTGTTAGATGACATCCATCAACCACAATAACTCTTCTCATGTACTGAAAACCAGCAATCGATGCTCCAAATGCGAGAAATAGATATTTGAATTTGTTATTCGAATCTACATGAAGAGCTGATACAGTTCCCGGATTGGCTTTGTTCACTGAATGTAGGTAAGCTGGGAGACTCGCATATCCATCTTCAGCTGTTCCCCTGACCAATTGTTGGGCATATATCAAAGATCTGTAAGAGGTAGTGTAATCCATCTTGATGCCAAACATATGCTTCATTGAAACCCTGACATGTTCTGGTGTAAGTCCATCAATGATGCCGAAATGGCTTATAAACAGCTTGCCAATATACTTAGGAGTAGACTTCCCACGGTGAGCCATTCGATGGGCTATTGAACATGTGTGGTCTTTCACATATTTTGTCACCCAAAAAGTGGATGCATCATTCTTCACGCTTGCTCTAACCATCCATGCACATCCTTCCACTCGACATTTAGCCACAAACAGGGTCTTGGTAGACTTCTGTGTTTTGAAAGCAAATTTTAACATTATGGCAGTCAGTCTAACCTCTGATAACAGCTTCTCTTTTGTAGGGAAACTTGCCCTAACATATATATTATCAGACCATGACATGGGCGTGCTCCCTGTTTCACCATATCGGTTTCTGACCTTTTCAATACAGACTTCATCTTCATCATCATCTTCATCTTTCACTTTACCGTAGACACTGTAATCTTCTCCGTCAGAGTAAGCTGCATCGTCGACATCTTCTCCATCCTAGTTCACATCAGAACTGTCTGCCTCATCATCGGTAGAATGTTCTGAATTTTCCTCAGACTCCTCACCTAAATCTTCATCTGATCCTTCTTGGTTCTCCTCAGTATCCATCTCCACTCGACAGGACACACAAAGGCATAACATATGTACTCTGCTTAACGAAATCAAACTTGAAACTTGTCTATCATTGGTGACATGCATTGGAGGTGTATCTGGAGCCATAGATTGCAACATTGAGACTGGTAGTGCGTAGGTTAACTCGATGATCTCAGTCTTCTTGCCCAAGTTATAATCATCTCGCACCATTTCAGTAAGCTGCCCAAAGGTGCAACCATCGTTCAAAAACCAAATTCTTCCACCTTTGCCCATGTCAACAACAAAATGCCATGAATTCTCCTTAATCTTCCACTCACCGTACACAACTGGAATTTGAGCTATTCTCTGAAAAATAACCACATAAACCGTATTAGCAAACACTGCATAGAGACTTTTTGTATCAAAGTAGACTTCACGCCGATGTCTACTTTGATAAGCTAAGTACCTTAAAAATCTAAACTTCTGATTTAACAATAAATATCCAATGAAACAAAATAAAAATCACTAGGTATTTCAATCACTAACTAAGAAAAAAATATAAACCAAAAAAATTGAAAAATATTTTACGAATTTCCTTAAAACGCGTTTTTACAAAAACGTCAAAACGTAGACTTCTAATGCAGACGTCGATTGTAGACTTCACGACGAAGTCTACTTTTATAAGCTAAGTACCTTAAAAATCGAAACCTCTGATTCAACAATAAATATCCAAATGAGATAAAATTCACTGGGTAGTTCAATCACTTACTAAGAAGCAATTCTGAACCAAAAAATTTGAAAAATAGTTTATACATTTGCTTAAAACGCGTTTTTAATAAAACATAGTAAAGTAGACTTCTAAATTAGACTTCAAATGTAGACTGGAGGAGAAGTCTACTTTTTCATTGAGAAGTCTACTAATGAAGTCTACTAAAAAAAAGGTCATTTTTGCCATTGACCAATCTGTTGACTTTTCCTTCAGTAGACATCAGGAGTAGACTTCAGGCAAAAAAGGTTACTTTAGCATTTGACCAATGCATTGACTAACATAGTAGACTTCTATTGTAGACTTCATGTAAGAGTAGACTTCTCTGACAGTCTACTTTTGAAGTCTACTTTTTAAATAGAAGTCTACGGATCAAAATAGGTTATTTTTGCAATTGAATTTTTTTAGTAGACTTCACAATGAACTCTACTCAAAAAAAGATTCCTTCTAAGTTTGACCGAACACAATAAGTAGACTTCACAAAGAAGTCTACCAACTGTAGACGTCTTTGTGAAGTCTACTGAAGCTTTTTGGAATTTTTTAAATTTCTTAATTTTTGAAAAACAGAAGTCAAACACAAAAATGACCTATACGTTTTTGGTCAAACTACAAAAGTAACTTGAAAGTAGACTTCGTATGCAGACGTAAACAGTAGACTTCAGACGGAAGTCTAAATTCAAAAGTCAAAATACGGTCAACTACAAAAATAGCCTCTTTTTCGTAGACTTCTTAAGCCTTCAAATGAAGTCTACTATGCTTTTTTTTGTTTTCAAAGGATATCGAGTAGACTTCTCGTGAGGTTTAATGAAGTCTACTTTTTAAAAGTCAATTGCAAAAATAACCTTTTGTTGACTCATAGACTTCAGTATAGTTCACGAGAAGTCTACTTTCGCGATATAAAAACTGAAATGTGGAGAAATTGAAGTGCGAGGATTACCTTAACAAAATTGAACTCCCCTAAGTTTCTCTTATCCACCCAGAACTTAGGATTTCACCGAAATTAAACAACCCAGGTGTCGAGTAACCAGAATTCACCGAAAAAGCATGGTGCGAAGCATTGTAATTGTGCCCAGATGTTTTGGAGAAGAATTATGGTAGAATGAGCAAGGTTATGAGTGAATGAGCTCAGATATTTGTTTTATTACAGCTTTAAAATTGGTTGATAAGCATTTACTCCATTTTCATGGTTGTTCATGGTGGTTGAAGGTATTGAAGACGATGGCATTCTCGTAATTAAAAAGTCTTTAGAAGGTTCAAGAAGACTTTAGCCAATTAAAGAAAAATCAAATTATTAGATGTATAATGGCATTTTCGTTAATAGTTTAAGTGGGAAGGATAAAATTGTGAGAAAATGACAAAAGTTGGAGAGAGAAAAAAAAAGAGGTTAGTTTGGTGTTTGACTTTAAAATATGGGTTAAATCTGAAACTCTCTCTCTTTCAAATGTAGTAAGAATGCAAGCTATTTTCTAGTATAGACACCGTCTTTAGCAACTAAAAACAATCTGTTACAAAAGATGACACCGTGTAATGCAATCATTCAGTGTAGTGCCCAAATAAGTTATTTTAGTTCAATGTGTAAACTAAAATGACTTCTATGAATAACGTTCCATCAGCATACAATGCCCATCCTAACACTACAAGAAAGAGGGGCTTTTCCGTCGAATTATTTACGACGATTTATTTACGACGATTTGTAGTCGTCGTAAATTACGACGACATTACATTGTATTTACGACGATCAAAAATTTCGTCGTAAATTCGACGTAAAATATTACCCTCGTGAAATCGTCGTAATGTTACGACGATATTACGACGAATAAAGAACGAATTTTATTTCATCGTAATGTTGTCATAAAATTTACATCGATAATACGACGAATTGTCCTCTATCTTTTAATTGACGTAAAATCGATGTAAATGTGATGTAAATTTTATTTCGACGTAAATTTGATGTAAATATGCAATGGTAATATGTTGGTAACCAAACAAAAAATTCTATATATACCCTTTCTTCTCTCATTATTCCATCAACCCAAAAAAACATATGAAGACACAAATTTTTTGAGTCTTTGAATGTTTAAGTAAAATTTTTTAGTAGTTGAAATTTATATCATATTTCAAAAACAAAAAGTCAAATATTTGTTTTTGAAATGTCTATATACGATCTACGAAAGTGGATGTATACGCCCAAAAATTGTGATGGGTCGTTGACTGAAGACTTCAAAAACGGATTGGAAATATTCATGTACCAAGCCGGCCTTATGCAAACTGTAATTGAAAGCGGCAAAATGTATTGTCCTTGTGTGAAATGCAATAATAGGAAACATATTCCTATTGACACTGTCTGGCAGCATTTATTGAATAGAGGGTTCATGCCCCAATACTTTATTTGGTATCAGCATGGAGAGGGATATGGTCAAAGTAGTGGTCAGATGGCTGCACGGAGTAGTAGTAATCATCAAGAACATGGGGATTTTGAAGCGTCAAATGATTATCAGAGTAGTCAAGTTCAGGGTGAAGATCGTGATAGGATGCATGAAATGGTTACTGATGCATTTCATGAAACACATGCTGATACTGTTGAGGAGCCCAATGCAGATGCGAAACGCTTTTATGATATGTTTTTGTTTGGTTACCAACATATTACCATTGCATATTTACATCAAATTTACGTCGAAATAAAATTTACATCATATTTACATCGATTTTACGTCAACTATATTAAAGAGTATTTGCCAGATGATAATTTGGCTGCTGAAACGTATTACGAAATTCAAAAGCTAGTTTTTAGTCTTGGATTGCCTTCTGAGATGATTGATGTTTGTGTTGATAATTGTATGCTTTTTTGGAGAGATGATGAGAAGCTTGAAGAATGTCGTTTCTGCCAAAAGCCAAGATATAGACCGCAAATTGCTGGGCGTAAGAAGATTCCTTACCAACGAATGTGGTATCTTCCTATCACTGATAGGTTAAAAAGACTATATCAATCTGAACGGACAGCTGCGTCGATGAGATGGCATGCAGAACATTCACAAACAGATGACAAAATGACTCACCCGTCTGACGGGAAATCTTGGAAACATTTTAACACCGTACATCCAGACTTTGCTAGGTCTAAGCGAAATGTTTATCTTGGTCTTTGCACTGACGGGTTTAGTCCATTTGGTATGTCTGGTAGGCAATATTCATTATGGCCTGTGATTCTTACGCCATATAACCTTCCTCCAGATATGTGCATGCAAAAAGAGTTTTTGTTTCTAAGTATATTAGTCCCTGGTCCAAATCACCCGAAGCGGGCCCTTGATGTGTTTTTGCAACCACTCATACATGAGTTAAACCAGTTGTGGCATGTTGGAGTGCGAACATATGACTGTTCGAGTGGTAAAAATTTTACGATGCGAGCGGTGCTTATGTGGACAATAAGCGATTTCCCGGCATACGGAATGCTATCAGGTTGGACAACGCATGGGAGGTTATCATGTCCTTATTGTCTTCATAGGACTGATGCATTTCAGCTTAAACATGGTAGGAAAACCTGTTGGTTTGATTGTCACCGTCGGTTTTTACCACCAAACCATCAATATAGAAGAAATAGGCGTTTGTTTATAAAGAACAAATTGGTTCGTCTCCCTCCACCAGTGTACCTAACTGGAGTAGAGCTTGAAGCGCAAATAGATCATTGGGGTGGACTTGAAACGGTCCCCCGAGGAGGAAATTGGCACACTCCTGCGAATATGCCTGAAGGATATGGGGTTCATCATAATTGGCACAAGAAAAGTATATTTTGGGATCTGCCTTACTGGAAAGATCATTTGCTTAGACATAATCTTGATGTTATGCACATTGAGAAGAATTTTTTCGATAACATCATGCATACTGTTTTGAACGTCCAAGGAAGAACCAAAGACAGCGTTAAATCACGGATGGACTTACCCAATATATGTAACAGAATTGAGTTGCATATGGTGAGTAATGGGAAAGCACCAGTTCCTGTATTTCGGTTGGGTGCTAAACAAAAAACAGCATTGTTTAATTGGGTATCATCAGCCATGAAATTTCCTGATGGATATGTATCTAATCTGGCTAAATCTGTGGATAAAGGACAAAAGTTTTCAGGGATGAAAAGTCATGATTGTCATGTGTTTATGCAACGATTACTTCCTTTTGCGTTTGCTGAACTCCTACCGGGACATGTCCATGAGGCACTAGGAGGCATTGGAGCTTTCTTTCGTGATCTAAGTACAAGGACATTATCAGAAGATGTAGTTGCACAACTGTCTACAAATATTCCAATATTGTTGTGCAATTTAGAGAAAATATTCCCACCTGCTTTCTTCGATGTTATGGAACATTTACCTATACACCTCCCTCATGAAGCAGAGTTGGGAGGACCTGTTCAGTTTAGGTGGATGTATCCGTTTGAACGATTTATGAAGCATTTAAAGGGTAAGGCCAAAAACTTAGCAAAAGTTGAAGGGTCTATCGTGGCGGGAAGTTTGACAGAAGAAACTTCTCATTTCACGTCTTATTATTTTGCTCCAAAGGTTCGTACACGTAAACGGGCTCCAAGACGTTACGACGATGGGGGTGTAGGACAAAGTTACGCAGTAGAAGGTATGCCTGATATATTCTCACCAATTGGACGTCTAAGTGGGAAACTAAAAGAAACTTGTTGGTCAAACGAACAGGACTACCACAGCGCACATACATATATACTTCTGAATTGCGAGGAATTGGCACCTTACGAGAGGTACATATATACAAATAAGCATGCATGATTATATTTTGATTGAATAGACGAAATTTCCTTAACAATGTTATCAAATTTCAGCACTTTCGTCAGTCAAGTCCGAGAATGCATCGACGGTGTTTCAGAAGATGCAATTAACAAGCGGAAAGACCAACATTATGCATTGTGGTTAAAAGGTCAAGTCGAGCATGATGACATGACATATGCAGTATGGTTTCATGAGTTGCTCCTAGGTCCTATTTCGAAGATAACTACTGCAGCTATGTATTTCACACGTGGCTATGTTTTTCATACTTATAGTCATGGCACTCAACGGGCAACTACAAACTATGGAGTTTGTGTACGAGGTGAAGTAGACTTTTATGGGATCATCAAAGAGATAATTGAAGTGGAATACCCCGGATTAGTAAGAATGAAAACTGTTCTATTCAAATGTGATTGGTTTGATCCTACGGTAGGTCGTGGAGTGCGTATTAAAAAATTCGGAGTGGTAGATGTAAACGCCTTTCGGCGATACAATAAATTCGAGCCTTTTATACTTGCATCTCAAGCAGAACAAGTCACCTTTGTTCCATATCCTCGAGTTCGGAGTACGGGAATTTCATGGCTTGCGGTTGTCAAAGTTGCTCCAAAGGGTATAATTGATGGTGTAGATCTCCCGCCAATGCAACAAGATGATTGTGTCGACATTACAAAACCTGATGTTGAAGAAAATGTTCTTTTAATTGATCCACGTAATCGACAAGTTGAAGATCTACATGGGGACGAAACTGAAGAAGGTGCTGACGAATTTCAAACAAGCAGTGATGATGACGATGATGATGAGGACAACGAGGAAAATGTTGAAGACTAATTAAATATGTTGACATTTAATTGCATGCTTTGAACGTTTAAATGTAACATTTGTCAAATTTGATAAATTTGTTTAAATTTAAATGTTTTAAAAATGAAAGACAATTAATGAAAAAAAATTTGTTTAAGTGTTGACTTGGACATATGTTGACTATTACGACGAATTTACGACGATTATTTTAGAAATCGTCGTAAATTCGTCGTAAAATGCAAACCCTAAACCCTATAGGGTTTAGCTTTCCCAACTTACAGAATGGTTTTTGGGTGCATTTTCCTGAGTAAACTGATGTATATATAAGGTTTTGTAGTATAAGATTTAAGAACTTGTAGATATGTGGTTTATGTTACGACGACTTTACGACGAATGGGTGTGATTCGTCGTAAAATCGTCGTAACATACCATCGAGTTTACGACGAAATGTAACCCCTAAATCTTATAATCAATCTTTTCTGGGGTTCATGGGGGATTTAGATGAAGAGAATGATATGGCTTACCATCTCATAAGGTAAAACAACTTTCTAAAAAAAAAAAAAAAAAAAATTCAAAATTTGACATATATGTGTTTATCAAGTAATCTTAAGATGTTTTATACATTTAGAGAAGATGTAAGGATTTATCTTAGATCTTACCAAATTCTTCATTAAGTTATGTAAACATGCTAGAAAGTTATACAGACCACATTTATCATGTATAGACATGCTTGTATGTGCTTATGGATGTTTCAATTTTTGAATTTCATCAGTTTTGGTATAATCTATCGTAAAATCGTCGTAATATTACGACGATTTTACGACGATAAGTGGATATACAGCCGTTATAATTTTTATGATTTATACGGTTCGTCGTAAAATCGTCGTAACATTACGACGATTTTACGACGAATAACAATGATCATCGTAAAGTCGTCGCAAAGCCCAGATACAGCCACGTGTGTTTGTTTTATTCGCTTTGTTGTACGGTGGGACCTCTGCGACGAATTTACGACGGATTCGTCGTAAAATCGTCGTAACGTTTACGTCGAATTTACGACGAATATAAATTCTATATATATGAACGCACCCCTTCCTCATTTCGTCGCTCATTACTCTCCTTCCTCTCTCTGCTTCCTCCTCCCTTTGACGCAACCTTCCTCCCTTTGACGCAAAAAACTAAGGTAATTTTTTTTTAATTACTTAATATTAAATTATTTTTAAATAGTTTAGAAATTCAAACGGTTTAGGTCGGAAATTAGTTCAGGCTCGGAATTTGTTAGATTTAGGATCAGAATTTGTTAGATTTAGGATCGTAATTAAAAATTAATATGTAATTTGAAAAATAAAATTTTATCGGTTTTGCAGACGATGACTCGACGGAGGACGCACTACATCAATTTCATGGCGGACAGACACTCTTCCCGGGCGTCTGCCTCGGGAAACACCGGGACCGATGTCCCTTCATCTTCCGGAGCCTCCCAGGTTCCGAATACCGTTGCGGAGCAGTCTCCACCACCGCCTCCACCACCACCTCCACCGTCGGCTGCCGAACCGGTACCCCACCCTCTTCATCCGTATGCCCAATTTACGGTTGAGGACTTACTAGCCCTACCGGGACGGGGGGCTTTACGACGTCTGGTTCCCGGAAAAGCGGAACCAGGCTCTTATTGGTAAGTAAAATTTTTTGTTTTTATATTTTTTTAAATTAATGCTTTAATTTACTTAAATATTAATGTAATATGTTTTTTTTTTGTTTCATAGGTTTAACTTGGATAATTGTGTCGGTCGGAGCGTTTCCGACACAATTAAGAGTCATTTCGTTGAGCCGCACTACAATTGGAGCAAGGTGTCGCAAGAGACGTTCGACACCTGGTACAAGTGCTTCGCGGTAATGTTTTTTAAATCTTATTTATATCATTTCAAATTATTTTAAATTTATTTAATCTTACTTCTATATTGTTTATATAATTTTTTTGTTTTCTTTGCAGCAACGGTGGAACTGGGACGTCGGGATCAACGAGACGGTCCGCGAAGCTTTCCGGCTGAAGGCGCAGAAACGCCTAGTCAACACCGTTTCCGATTGGAAGCGGAAGTGGGAGACCGATGGCGACGACGCAAAGCCGAGCTCCATGTCCACTTTCTGTTGGAATGGGTTGAAGGCGTATTGGCTGGACCCGCATGCCCAAACCACTGCTGCTAAGTGTTCGGCTGTCCGAAACCGGATCGGTCCTAACGGTCAGAAGTTAGTGACCCTGCACACTTCTGGCCAAATATCATTTGCGGGAAGACGTCTCATGATGGTAAGTAATTAAATATACATTATTTCATTATTATTTCATTTTTAATTATTGCTATAATTTATTAAATATTTTTGACTAATGTTTATTAATTGGTAGGCCGAAGAGAACAGAGGAGAACTTCCTCCAATGACGAAGCTCTTCGAGACCACTCACCGGAAGAGGGATGGGAGCTTTGTCGACGCTCGGTCAGAGGAGATCTACAATGCCGCTATTCAGCGGATCGCCGAGCGGGAGACCCAAGCCACACCTGACGGTACTATCCAAGTACCGTTGACCGTCGCTGAGCAAGACCAGATTTTCGAGGAGGTATGATCTATTTCAAATATTTTAAAATTTATTATATTTATTACTTAATAAATAATTAACGTTTTTATTTCCATTTGTAGGTTGCTCCGAAGAAGAAAGGCCGAACCGTCAGAAGAGGAGTTAATCGAATCACGATGACTGCCTCTAGGTTCCTTTGGATTATCAAACGTTTGAAAGGAGAAGAATAAGGAAAGATAGGTAGAAAAGAATACGGTTTCCCCTTTTTTTTTTTGACTTTTGAAATTCCTCTTTTTTTTTTTTTTTTTTAAGAATGGACTTTTCGATTTCCTTTTTTTTTTTTTTTTAACGGAAATATCAGAAGAAAAGGGATGAGAAAAGGCGGAAGTTAAAGAGATAGATAGACACTACCAATTAAGCAAGTGGGCTCTGATACCACTTGATACGATCCTCCCAAGGATTTGCACTTGCTCGTTTGGTAGAGGTTGATAAACTCGGCCAGATCGGTTTGATCGGAGAAGTGCTAAGGGGTGAGGGATTGCCTCGAAGGTCCTTAGGCCCAACTCGCGAGAAACAGAACTGATCAAGGGATGAAAACACCAAGTGTTGATCTCGCGGGTCAAGGATGAACAGGCGTGAGGTTTTTTTGTAAAAAACAATATGTATTTAATTTTTTCGTTTATTTATAAATTATTTTCGAATTTAAATTTTAATTTAAAATGTTTTTTTCTATTTTTAATTTTTGATTATTTTAAAATTTCATTAATTAAATTAAAATCGAATTAAATAATTAATTTATAAATTGACGTAAATTCGTCGTACATTTACGTCGATTTAACGTCGAACATTTAACGACGAATTTACGTCAAATAACGTTTACGTCGAATCTACGTCGAAACTTTACGACGAATTAACATCGATGTTTAAAAAATTAATTTCCCTTAATTGAAATAGTTCGTCTCCTAATCGTTGTTAAATCGATGTAATTTTACATCGATTTTACGTCGTTCTTATGATGGACGTGTTTCGTTGTACTTTCGTTGGAAAATTTACATCGACTTTATGACGAATAGTTTCCGACGATATTACGACGATTTCCCTGGATTGGTAATTTTACGACGATTTTACGACGAATTCTATTTTACGACGATTGTTTTACGACGATTTTTCATTCGTCGCTAATTCGACGTAAATGCCCTTTTACATCGATTTTACGTCGATATCTGCCGACGTAAAACCCGATCTTTCTTGTAGTGTAATCTCAAGTGTCAATCTTGTTCCATGAACTATCTGCATAACACTAAACCCTTCATAAACCAGAAGTACCATAGGAGTAACAATATTTTTGGGAGTATTTTGATCAATATATTGTGACTGAGTCCCATAAAGTTGTTGCCGCAATCTAAACAATGTCTTGTAGAGCTCTATACATATTATAAAAAAAAAAACTTTATCAAATATCTTCAAATATACCAAATTAGGCAAGGTATTCGCCAAAATAGATAATAAAAATTTAAGAAAACCGATGATGTTAGAAATCCCTCCAAAGACGATGATATAACTCAAGTTTTAAAAATTGGAGGACACTCAAATAAAATATGATTTATTGTTTCTTACCATTCAAGATCATTGTGTATAGTTTCCACGTTAACGTTATCATTTACAAAATCAATTCTTTTTTATTATTACATTAACATATATCATTATCCAACCTAACAATATCATATAATTTTTGGTGAGTTAAAATTATCTTATGTGTGTTGTAGTTACGTTAAGTGCATTGAACATTATATAATAACTTTGTTCCTCTATCTAACAAAAGAGATATTTGGGAAACTCTCAATTTCTATGTGCGGCAAAAAAACTTGGTTTTTCATTTAAAAACAATTATTTTTTGTTGAATAACATTCATTTCAAAAGAAAAAAAAATCAATTTTTTCAAGAATTCGAAGACTAAATGTAATATGGTATCAGAATCTCGACTCATGTTATGATTGAATGAATCATTGTTTATGAATGATTGTTGTGAATGTTCTGGAAAACGATCCCTTACTCATGTCAATTTCAAATCCAAATCCTCAAACCATCGATTCTCCGTTTTCAATTTCCACTTTACCAAAATCAAAAAGCCGTTCTTCCTCATCTAGTATCAATTCTCTCTACGAAATTGAATACGTCCCTGGAGATCAGCTACCCGAAACCACACTCCCTCTTGTTAATCCATATGAATACTTTGCCAAAAAGCCTAGTGCTTTCTCGGTTAAAGGTGTTCGAGAACTCATCAAGCCATCTTCCAATCGAAAAGTCATGGAATATGTCCAGTCCAGCAAATTCTCATCCTGTCAAATCCCAGCAACCGAAGAAGAACAATTCATCTCGCTCAACATACCGGAGAACCTTCCTAGGTTATGGCAACAACAAGGGTATACTCACCTCCACTTTGGTGTAGTCCGGATCGGTTTGACCCTACATGCTCGAAAAGGTCTACCTGTTGTAGCAAGAATCGCCTTGGTCGATTCAAGACTGAAATCCTACCAACAAGCTTGCATCGGAACAGTCCAAACAACATTAAACGCCGGAACAGTATTCGTGACACTGTTTCCAAACTTTAATGTCTCTCTACAAGATCCAAATCTTCTGAAGACACTCAAAGTCCAACTTCAGCTCACCGGAGCTCCTATGCAAGAGAAAAGTGTCGTCGCGACCCTTCATCATCAGATAGTCTATCGAATCCAAGATCATGCCTTAGATCTTGTACTACCCTCTTCTGATGAAGCACTTTACCTAGAAGTCACTTCAGCATCTCAAGCACCGAACTCCATCCAGATCCCTCGTCAAATATCTCGCGAAGAGCTGCTCCGCCGACTACCAGAATCATGGATCACCAGCTACGAGAAGCTGCACCAAGCGGTTCAAACACCGATTCAATCCTCCAAAGTCAGCTTTCACTCACGAAATGATGGTACAACCGAAATCAAGTTTGAAAAACCAAGATCATCGTCATTCCGCAAACAACTGTTCACTCAATTTGCTATTCAAATTGACGAACGCAAATTCTATAGTCCAGCAAAAGAACAAAATCCTAAACCAATCTCTTTTGGACAAAACGGATCGGTACTATATCCTTTCAAAGATGAAGATGGACATCAATATTTCGATATCTGTTCCTGCTCAGCATGTGAAGAATCTGATAACGAGATTCGCACAAGGAGAAGAAAGAAGAAGGATCCGCTCTACAAAAGATATTTAGAAGGAGATCCCACCGTCGGTCCTCTCGGTGAAGGAAACGGGCGATACGACTTTATAGTCCAATATTCGGAAAAGAAAGATGAAAATCAAATCATGATGATCAACAACGAAGACTTCCCTCCTTCAAGCGACTTTACCAAGGACAACATCGCACATAGCCCAAAGATACTCACTCGAGCAATCAACTCTTCTGGACCAGATCAACTAAGCCAAGGAGAAAAAGTCCTCAACTGGCAAACTGAGAATGCCATCGCTCAAAATCAACTCCTCAAAACAATAAATTACAAGGTTGATCAGCTGACGGAAAATTACATCAAAAGGCAAACTAGCCTTCAGAGCTCAATAACAGAGATCCATGGCCGGCTTAACAATCTTCATCACGAAATGATGGCTATGGCACAAAACATGATGGTCAATACAGCACAATTCCGTCATAAAGAAGCAGAGACAGCCAGTCTCAAAGCCCAGCTAAAAGATCTTCAAAGAAGCCTCGAGAGTATGATTTACAATCAGAATCCTGCGAGTTCTTATTCCAATCCTTTTGGTGGAATGCCTATGTACCAAGGCACCTACTCCCCAGGATTTCTCTCCGGCTATACAAATCAAAGACCAAGAACACCTGCCCCCGGATTCCTATCATCTGACGAAGCCTTTACGTCAAGATATGGCATGACCTCAGCTAGCAAGCCAAAGGTGTCAAAATCAAAACCAAGACGACAGAAGGATTCTGAGTTTATGGTCAATCCTACCAAACGACCAACACTTACTTCTTCGTCAAGCCATGAATCAGTGGAAGATTCAAAAAGAGTAGGAAAAGAAATTGGTATAATTGAATTCTCTATGGCTAGTCTGTTAGATACTATTGGACAGACTTCTACTGCTCAAACAGCCACGGAGATGCCGCATACACAGCCTTCTCAACAAATTGCAACTCCAAATGCAAATATCGGTCATCATTCGGAGACTAATTCTAACAGTTCCTAATCAACTTCGGATGAAGAATCTCTCCCAAACCAATTTGCCATAGGCGACGAAAGAGGCGAAACATCGACTCCAAAACGAGAACCTGATATTCATGAAATCTATTCAAGCGATGAAGATATGGAGTACAGACCTCCCAGGCAGCAAGAAATACCAACAAGACCATTTGCCTCTAAAGTCATGGTCTTCACGTTTGATGACATTCCTTTCGAAAAATGGAATGATCGTCTCGATGAATTTCATGCATGGATGAATTCTGAAGCAATCACGTCTCCCTTAGAGCTTGTAATTCAGCAGTTTACGGCCCGACTATCTGGAGCACTCAAAGAATGGTGGAATTCACTTGGTGAATACAGACAGCAGCAAGTCTATCAAACGACAATACCGCTACTTCTCGGAGAAATTCATAGAGAATTTATCGGTACACCCACACATTTGAAAGAACAGCTTCAAGAAGAATTCTTTACTGCGAAATGCTGCTCATTGAAGAAAAGAGACCTAGCTAAGCATTTTGAGCGACAGACGCGACGTTAGTACGCTCTTAATGGTCTCAACAATCCAAGCCTTAAGCAAGTGCATCTCTCTTCGATTGATGACTACCTCAGTCAACAAACAAAGCTATACATCAGAGATCAAGGCCAGACAGTGGAAGATATTTCCATTGGCCAAATACAGCAATATGTCTTCCGAACACTAGACAAACTCTGCAAGCAAAAAGAGTTTTGGATGGAATTCATGGATAAATCAAAGCAACTATCCAGGATCTGTGCAAGACCAGACCTATCCATCAAATGTTCAAAATCCAAGAAGACATGTTCGTGTGAAGATCGTAGCAAATCACGGAGATTCAGAAAAACGTCTCACAAGCGTTTCAACAAATTCAGACGTAAGCGATTTTTCAGAAAGAAACGAAGCTTCAAGAAAACAACGAAGTGTTTCCTATGTCGCAAAGAAGGCCACTTCGCAAAAAACTGCCCAAACAAGTCGAAGAAAAAGAAGCAGTACTTAATCAGCTCAATCTCGAAGATCGCACCAGACCTCGATTTCAACAACCACGATCTAGAATCAGTACTATCCTATGATAGTGATGAACAAGATGCCATATGTGACTACTCGGATTATGACTACTCATCCGACTCCTCAGAAGAAGAAGAAGTCAATAACGACTGCTGTTTTAAAATCACTCGTATGCCGCAAAAAGAAGAAATTCAAACACCACATCTGCCAGTTACGATCTTTGATCCATCACAAAAGGAGAAGCCAGTTCATGCAATTGCATTCATCGACACAGGGGCATATACGACAATAATGAACCCTAAAATTCTTCCGACTTCTATGTGGCTACCACATCAACAAGAATTTCGAGTAGCAAACTCGGGTTCATTGACGGTCAAACTCAAGTCCAAACCAGTGACGATCGAACTTTTCCCAGGCTGTCAAATTACAACAGAAGTGCTTGGATCCTCAGCACCAGGAAAAGATTTGATATTAGGATGGGATTCCTATCACACCTTCAAGAAGAATTTTGACATATCTATTGAGACACGAGGAATGAGATGGAAGGCTTTCTACAAAACTTTCACAACAATCCCACGTCTATTCACGGTCGAAGGAGTCATAACTCAAGATTTCAAGAAAATCAAAGAAGAGATCGCAATAGTCTCATGTGCAGACTCTCACACAGACTTCCTTCAGAAATGTGACAAACCGTTATGGCTGAATTCAGAATTCTTCGTCTCTCTACCTTTCAAGAAGAATGTCCATACCACTCCGACAAAAGCAAGTCACGCAGGCATGCCACCAACATTATTGACACAAGCAAATGAAGAATGTGACCAACTAGTAAAACAAGGAGTTGTCTCATCAACAAATTCACCTTGGGCATGTAAAGCATTCTATGTGAACAACCGGGCAGAACAAGCAAGAGGAAAACTCAGACTGGTAATTGATTACAAACCACTGAACCAATATCTACAAGACGTCAAGTTTCCTCTACCAAACAAGAAGGCACTCCTTCAACACCTACAAGGAGCCACCATATTCTCCAAGTTTGATTTAAAGTCTGGATTCTGGCAACTTGGTGTTCATCCTGATGAAAGATACAAAACAGCTTTCTGCCTACCCAACAGACATCTCCAATGGAATGTTCTACCCTTCGGATTAAAGACAGCGCCATCGCTATTTCAGCAAGCGATGCTTCGTATATTTAAGCCTCTTCTCCACACGGCTTTAATATACATCGACGATATTCTGTTATTCTCAACAAGCAAAGAAGATCACATTCGGTCTCTCCGACAATTTCAAGGCATAGTTGAAGAATATGGAATCATGCTCTCGGCCCGAAAGATGATAGTAGCCCAGCCCAACATCGACTTCCTTGGAATGCAAATCACAGAAGGAAAATTCACACCGCAAGCCCATTTAGCTACAGCACTCCTCGATTTTCCCGATGAAAATCTCACGCGGAGACAAGTCCAACAATTCCTTGGAGTAATTAATTACATCAGCGACTTTATTCCGCAACTTTCGCAAATGACTAGACCACTCCAGAAGATGCTGACAAAGAATCCACCCACGTGGGCCACCAAACAAACCGAAGCAGTCAAAAGCCTAAAAAAGGAGATACAGAAGCTACCACCTTTAAAGATTCCCTCTACAGGCCTACGAATACTGCAGACTGACGCAAGTGACAAATATTGGGGAGCCATTTTATTCGAAGAAATAAATGGTAAACGTCAAATCTGTGGATACAAAAGCGGACGCTTTAAATATTCCGAGATGCATTATCACTCTACATTCAAAGAAATCCTAGCGGTCAAGAAGGCTATCGAAAAGTTCGAGTTTCATCTGATAGGACATAAATTTCGCATCGAAATGGATATGTCTTCTTTTCCGAAGATGTTACAATTCAAGCAGAAGATGGTCCCACATCAACAATTATTGCGCTGGAGCGAATGGTTTTCGAAGTACGACTTCGAATCTTTCTATTTAAAGGGTGCGAAGAACACTCTTGCTGACATGCTCAGTAGAAACCCTCCTAAAGAAGTTCATATGATGACAAACGCCTCAGCTTCCTCGAGTTCGGAAAACCAATACTATGACTTCGACGCAAACATGCCTCTCGACGCTCACCAGCTCGTCGACAAAAGGACTCTGCATGAGCATCTTCAACACAGGATTTTCAAATACCAGTCCATCATCCTGTCCAAATACGGAATCTACGGCCACTTCATTGCACCAATGGGTATTCACCCTGATCACCCGTTCGCACATCTCTATAGAATCGAGAATACAGCAATGCCGGAAGAAGTTCTGTGTTTCCTCTGGTACCTCTGCTCAGTCTACACCATCGGAATCACCTTTGATATCAAATGGCTTTACCAGTACGTCAACGCTGTACAAAACCGAAGAGATTGTTTCTCCACATTCTTGGCATGGTTCGCACCACTGATTGTTTGGAGCGGAAAACTAAGAAAATCAGCAAAAGCAACAGGCCTACCATTCAAGAAACTAAAGAGACAATGAGGTCTCAATCCGTTCTTCAATCCTCACACGATCTACTTCTTCCATCGTCCTGTTCAGATCAACCCCAAATCCAGCAAAATTCATACATTACCCACTCTTATCCATCACAATGACTATCAGAGAGGAGTTCGTCCAGATTTCAACCTCACCGACGTTAAAGCCTACGAAGACTTTCAAACACATGCATTCCGCCTCAACAATGCCAGACCTTCCCAGTTCCTTTCATTCCAAATTGGTCGTACTATCCGATCGATTACCAGATGAGTCTAGACGAAGACGTTATGTTTTCCATGTCTAAACGAATTATAGAAGACATACCAGTTACTAAGGAGATCAAGAAAGAAAAGGAACCGCTGTCCCAAGACTGTCCACCAGAATATTTCCAGGACGCTCAGCTACCGGATGACGCGATGAATATCGATGAAATTGGAAAAATGTTCAACATTGAAATCAATGAAGAGTCACAGACTGACTACGAAGAGCCTACACCAGGTTATGACTGCCCAGGAGAATACTATGGATGCTGCGACAAACATATCATCGAGTTCGAGATCGACCACTAAAGTACTTATTTTAAAGGTACTTAATTATGTTTAATTATGAGTGTGCTTAAAACCATGTAAAATAAATAATAATTTAAGTGTGATGTAAGCGATGATGTAATCGCAAGAGAATGATGTAAGCGCTTATGTCAGCGCGCACTATCTCCCACCTATAAATATGTGTGCACCTCCTTGTAAAAAAATCATCTCAGAATTTCTAATAAAACCTCTCTCTAGAATTCTCTCTAGAATGAGTTTTTAAATACTCTCTAGTTTTCCAAACTTCTTGACATCTTCATAAGTCTTGGTTTCTTTTTTTCATTCATGAGTTGCTAAATTGTAGTTTCCGGTACATCATTTCTCCACCAGAATCTAGCCATTATGGACACTACCTTCTCGGTTAAGATCTTGAGCAGCTTGAAACAGATTGTTTGTACCCTTTCGTATGACAAAATTTTCTACACTATCATTTCTTATTATCATAGTTTATTTTCAATTTCTTATATAAAAGTAAATAATCGTTGGGAAAAAAACACCAAACAACACTTTAATTCATTAAAATCGCATCAACTACGCTCCAAAAGATAGATGAAAATTAGCGTAAAAAGAATAGTGTAATAAAATTCGTCATTTTTCGCTCAAAAAGTCAAAGACACACATTATTATCAAACTTTTCTTGCAGAGTCTATATGAGTCACGAAACCAGATTCCCACGAGCCTTCTCTCTCTTCTCTTCTCTCTCTCTCTAGCTAAGAGCTCAGAGAACTGGTGCAAGCACTTCATAGGATTCAAATGCCGTCGGAGATCCAACGACCGTTGAGATCTGCGGCGTGTAAAGGAGGATATCGGCGAGACTTCAGCCCCGACTCTTTGATCTTCACACCGGAATCAAATCTCAGCCTCTTTTCCTCCGCCTCCGTTAGCGTTGATCGCTGCTCTTCCACCTCCGACGCTCACGACCGCGACTCTCTCGTCTCTGCTCCTTCACTGGTACTTCCACATTGTCGAGCTCATGCTAGATTTTTTTTTTTTGGGGGACTTTGGAGTGTAAAATCTGAATCTGAGTTCTCAACGACATTATGATTTGACTGAGTCAAACTTCCGAAAAATCATGCAACTTTTGTTTTTCTTAATTCGTCTATTTCCACTGTTCATCATTCATTATGTCAAATTTTTCTGTCTTCTCAATTGTTACTGAACAGTATAGATTCATGTTAAATGCCAATAAACAAATTTGCGAGTAGTGATGGAAATTTTTTCATAAACACAACTCTGAATGTTTCTAAGAAATAGACATTCCTTGTAAAATTACTAGATCTTGCTTTTTTTTTTTGAATTCCGAGTAATTATTTTTGGTAATGATTTGAGATGACAGGAGCGAGATCAAGATCAAGACAAGCGTGGAACAGGGTGGAAGCAAAGTCGCAACTCTAGAAAATCAAATAAAGTGAAAGGTAAATTGATAAATGTTGCAAGAAAAGCGACAAAAACAGTCCAAAAAGAGATTCAATTATACATTTGGAACTTTTTCTTATTTACTTTTCTCTTGTTTTTCAACTGAAAAAGCCGCTTGGAAAGAAGAGTTTGAGGTTAATAAAGAAGATGAAATCCAGAATCTTGATTCAGCTAGGAGCTCTTTCTCTATAGCTCTACGAGGTGAGAGCTACTTATTGAAATAAAGTTTGAATCTCTTTTCCTAACTTTTGCGTTCTAATCTTAACTCTTTATATAGAATGCCAGGAAAGAAAATCAAGATCTGAAGCTTTAGCAAAGAAGCTAGACTACCAAAGAACTGCTTCACTGGATCTAAGTAATGTAACCTCTTCATCTCCGCGAGTAGTAACCGTTAAGAGAGCTTCAGTTTCAACTAATAAATCCAGCGTGTTTCCTAGTCCTGGAACTCCGACTTATCTGCATAGTATGCAAAAAGGTTGGAGCTCAGAGCGTGTAGCCTTACGTTCAAACGGTGGAAGAAGCCCACCCAATGCTGGTTTCTTACCTTTATATAATGGAAGAACGGTTCCTTCTAAGTGGGAAGATGCAGAGAGATGGATACTTAGTCCTCTTGCTAGAGAAGGAGCTGCTCGGACTTCATTTGGAGCATCACATGAAAGGCGGCCTAAAGCAAAGAGCGGCCCATTGGGGCCTCCTGGAGTCGCTTATTATTCGTTGTTTTCTCCTGCTGTTCCTATGGTTCACGGTGGTAACATGAGCTGCTTATCAGCTAGCTCTCCGTTTTCATCAGCTGGTGTGTTGCCAGAAAATGGTAGTTCTAGAGGTTCCGCTCAAAGAACCGATCATTGTATGGCTAGATCAGTTAGCATGCATGGCTGCTCTGAAACTCTTGTACCCTCGTTATCACAAGGTATAGACAGATCAACTCTGTATAAACTAAGTTTCTGTGTCTTGTCACTCTCTTTTACCTGTTTCGTGAGTGTACAGAGGACTCATACATATAGGATTTGGTATCTATATGTACAGATGACATACATGAGAGTATTAAGGATGCTGCGACTGATGCTCGAGCTGTCTCAAGAAGGGATATGGCGACACAGATGAGTCCAGAGGGAAGCATCCGGTTATCTCCTGAGAGACAGTGTTCGTTCTCTCCTTCCTCTCCATCAGCACTCAGTATTGTGGAAATACTGAATGGTCGTTCCAACCGAGCAGAAGTCAAGGACTTACAGGTTGATGAGAAGGTAACTGTAACTCGCTGGTCAAAGAGGCACAAAGCTCTATACCATGGAGATAGCTCAAAAATGCGAGACCACTTACATGGACAAGCTAGGGATCCTCAAGGTTTGACATGGTATGTTCTACTTCTACGTTGAAACCACTTCACTGATATGGAGTGAACTAGATTTGGAGTTGTGATTGAAAGTTTCATATTTCTGTAGGGCAAAGACCGAGGAAGCCAGAATCATATCTTGGGAAAATCTGCAGAAAGCTAAGGCCGAGGCAGAAATACGAAAGCTAGAGGTTCTTTCCTCTCATCCTGTTTCTGTACTTTTTTTCTTCCTGAAGCATAAAAATAATTGCAATTGGTATTTTGGTATCAATAGCTTCTAAGAAATAATGAATAGTATCACTCACATTGTCAAGAAATATTTTTTTTTGCAGATGAAGTTGGAAAAGAAAAGATCTTCGTCCATGGAAAAAATAATGAGGAAAGTGAAAACAGCAGAGAAGAAAGCAGAAGAGATGAGGAGGTCGGTTTTAGACGATCGGGTTTCAAGTGCACCCCGAGGCAAGGCTTTATTATCTTTCAGAAGAAATGGGAAGAAGAAAATGGCCTCACTTAGTGGTTGCTTCACCTGCAATGCATGCTAGTTACTGGTAAAACAACTCTTTCGATCTATGTGGTTTTCTTATTCCCTGCTTGTAACACCTTTGATAGTATGTAGCTGTTTGATTTTTCAATTCATGTGGTTACATTTGTGTAGTTAGTTGAGTAAATTCAAGGGATGAGTCTACCCCTTTCCACCTTTGTGGCTCTTTGGGTTGTTAGAGGTGAATTGATCCCTTGAGAGGACCAAATCTCTTTTACTTACTGATCCATGCATCATCGTCTGATCGATTTTAATGTTCTAAATTCTCTAGTTTCTTGGTTCCTGACAAAATGTCTGTAATTATGATTCCTACATTCTACATTCTACTAGTCAGATGAAATTATATGCATATAATAACGACCTGTTCAGATTTAGCCCTTTTTTCCCATGCTGAATATGTAACTTCTGCTCAAAAACTAATTAAACAGAAGAATTCGAAATTCTGTCGAGAATTTTTTTTACTGAAGATAGTGTAGATATAATGATATGGTTCAGATAAGCATTATAGTATAAAATCCGTAAAATTCTCAAGGTCAACGTCCCTAGGGCCGTTCTCTGTTATCTGCTCGTTCCCTTCTTTGCTCTCTCTTTCTTGCAGCCGATCTGATTGTCTCGATAAGAGGAGCGTCATCGTCTACATAATCTCCCTTATCGTCTTTGTCCGAGCCGCTACTGATAGATTCCTCCTCGCCACTTCCGCTTTGCTCATCAAACAGTCTCTTTCGCTCTGTTTCAGGACGTTTTCTTGGCCGTCCCCTGCTTCTCACAGCTGCACCTTCCTTGTCGTCGGTGAGAAATCCCAAAACAATAAAAGCCTCGTCATAACAATCCATTGTTTAAGAAGATAGAGCTCAAGTTTTATAAACAAAATAATCTCGACTAAAGATGACACATTCGCTTTCTCAACCATGTTACTCAGAAGCTGTGGATAATCCTTCATCATCGCACCCGTTATGTCTATCTTATTGTTATCAAACATTTCTCGTTGAGCTTTGCTCTGATACATCAGCTTCTTTCCATTATCCGTTGAAGAGATAATCTTCTCACTGATCGCCTTATTGACCGAGGCAAACAGAAGTCTGATCAAGTTTGTTGAATCCTAGTCATTCATAGACCCAGTCCGATAATACTGATCCAAAAGCATAGTGTTGATACAGTTCCAGTCCTTCATGGCCTTCATGCACTCCCAAACATCATCAATCACATAAACGCTTAAAAATGGATCGTTGGAGTAGTCCCGTAATATTTTTAACATTCTCAAGATATGGATCTCAGAGAATGAATCATCACAAACTTTCTTGCGTTCGAGTGGTCATGCACTAACCCTCCTATAGCATTAGCAATTGCACGTCTGATTTCTTGAGGTTAACTCGTACAAATGTTCTAGGTCATGATCATCAGGTACTGGTGTCTTAGCAGCTGCTTTATAAGCCATCTATATAGCACATACAGCTACAGGGATATCAACATCATAAGCCATCTCGATTATTCGACCGGAGAATAATAATGACCAAGAGTGGGGACATTTTCATCATTCTCATAAAGTTTTCGCAATGCCATGAGAGAAGCTTTCCCCACTCCAGCAGATTTTCACTACGCATCCATCCAAGATACTTCAAGTACCGATCTTGCAAGAAAAGACAAGGATAAGACGACATCCAAATGCCTAGAGACTGAATGCATGACATCCTAATATCTGGGTAGACTTTTTATATCGGTGTACAACAACCCGATCAAGATCTTCCGCATCATGTCCTGTAATGTAGTTATTTGTTCATGAGTAACAGACAACCTTTTGTTGAGCAACTCCACAAGAGCTTTTTCTTGCTTTTAGCCTTCAATTGCCTTTGGGTGGTTTCTCGCAGAGAACCGAGTGTGTTTGCAATGAGATAAATGATGTGACTAGCTGGAGGCCCTTTGAGTTTAGTCATATATATTTTAGATATATTTAATTACATAATTAATATATATATATATATATATATATAGGTTTAGAATGTGACTGATGTTTATTAAAAAAGATTACACACGATTATTTAGAGATATAGGGGAGTAACTAGGTTAATCTAATTATGGAAGTAGTCCTTTGTATGTATAACTTATATCTTTTACACACCCCCTCAAGATGGAGAGATTTCTGTGACTCCAATCTTGGACCTTGCAATGTGAAAACTGGATCTCGTTAATGCGTCGACCAGTTGATCCTTAGTCGATACATGTGACACTCAAAGACACCCAGATTGAATTTGATTGCGAAAAAAATGGTAGTCCAAGACAATATGTTTCATCCTTGAATGAAAAACTGGATTGGCACTCAAATATGTAGCACCAATGTTATCACAGTATACCACCAGTGCTCCTGCGAGTTTGATCTGGAGTTCAGATAAGAGATTGCAGATCCAGCGGATTTCTTGTGCTGTATTGGTGATGGCTCTGTATTCTGCTTCGGTGGAGGATCTGGCGACTCCTTTTTGTTTTCTTAGGTAGATAATGTATGCGTTGCTAGAGACAAAATTATCCAAGTCTCCTGTCCAATCCGCATCAGAAAAACTATGTAAGGAGAGAGTGTTCGTTTTTGGAAGAAAAATCCAGCCAGGTAGCGTAGAACACGTTTTACAGCTTGCCAATGGTCCGATGTTGGCATGTGCATAAACAGGGAGAGTCTGTTGACTGCAAAAGAAATGTCAGGCCGCGTGAATGCTAGATATTGGAGACTTTCCACGACCATTCGATATTCTGATGCATCTTCAAGGGCTGTTCTTGCACTGAGAGTGAGTTTCAAAGATGCTTCAAGTGTTGAGGCTACGCCTCAAGCATATTGGTCTTCGCCAGGAGATCCAGAATGTATTTTCTCTGCATAAGACGAAGCCCATCTGGTGATCTCGTTACTTTGATTCCCAGAAAATAGTTGACATCACCTAAATATTTAATCGAGAATCTGTCTGCAAGAGAGCTTAATACACAGGAGACAGCATTGGTGTTGTGTCTGATAACACTATATTTGTACCAATTTTTATCATTGATTTCAAATGATTTTTCAAAGATTTTAATCAGTTTTAGGAACTTTTATTATGATTTCTCTATATTTGTAGTTTCAAGACTCTTTTCACTAAACTTAGGGAAAAAGATGACAAAATGGAAGAAATCCACATTTTCAGCTCAGAGTCAGACCGTCAGAAGTTCAACCTCAAATGAAGATTTTCTAACCGTCTGATCGAGCTCAAATTTGGAGACATCCAAGAGGAGACAACCAGCTTTCCATGGCACTTAACATTAGGAATATCCAACGGTGCAATCAAAAGATACATGGAGAACAAGTTGACCTAATTAACCAGTTCCGGAAAACTCTCACCCGCGGCAAACAAGCATTTTACCTGCCCGGGAAGACTCTCACCCCTGGTGGACCTAATGCCGAACCGCAGGGCCCAACATCAAAGCCTCATTTCTCTTCTGAGAAACCTTAAATGAGACCTGTAAGACCTTAGGATCTATAAATACATTTTTTCGCAGCCCTAAACTGGTGTGTGCCCTTGTAATGAGTTTTTGATCCACCAAACTCTGTTTTTTTAGGGTTAGGCGATGGAGAAGGGGATTTTTCCCTGGATATTGTTCTATCTCCTGTTTATCTAATTAGCTTTTCTGTTTCATCGTATGCATTCTTTCATGTCTTTTATCATTCCTTGCATCATGTAGATTTGTCCCAGAGAGTCAACTTTCTAAAGAGTCATCGATAGGGATACATGTTCGATTAGGATTTCTAAGCTTCTAAACCATATTCTGGATCTCATCTCTTCTAAGTTGTTGATACTGCATGAGAGTAGATTCATGACCAATTCTCTGAGCCTAAGATTGATCAGAGCGACGAGATGCTGTATCATATCATCCATACCTTGCTTCAGAAGAACATAGTCGCTACAGGAGTTGAGAGCTACATGTAGAGAAGATGTGAGCAAACAAATTCAATAGTTAATGTATGATCTTATTCCTGGCATGAGAACGAGAGTTAATTGTCAGATTTAAGTGATTAGTTAATTTAGATGGCGAGAGTTGGTTAATCATACACATGTCTATTCCAGTTCCATGCAGATCCCAGAAGATAGATAAGGATAACTCGCCCGGAAACTAATTGGAAATGCTTTGATATCGATTAGAGTAAACCGGAGAAGTTTAAATTGCCCACTATGAGTCTAGATTCTATAGTTTGAGTCGAACACCCTTGAGATATTCTTTTAGAAACTCATTTGCATTGCATTTTATTTCCCGTAAATATTAGATAGGTTTAGTTTAGGATCCATAACCAAAAACTCCAAACCCCCATGAGTTTCTGACTTTGCTTACTATCCTAGTTTGGTGTTTCCTAGACATCTTCCCTGTAGATCAACATCTTAAGTCCTACAACGTACATCTGTGCACTTTCAGACTTTAGAGTTTTATAAATTTAAAACTCTGGACCAATGGGCTTGCAAAAGAACTGCGACCATGAGACCCATCAAAGTTTTTGGCGCTGTTGCCAGAGAAGATTTTAGGTGCTGGAGGTCTAAACCAAGAAGGTTGAAGCCGCAGAAGACTATATATATCAAGTTTCTGCCAAAACACCATAGGAAGTAAACCAAACTCATAAACACCCTAACTTTTTTCTTTTTTTCTGCTTATTTTTCTTCTGCTTGCCCTAGTTTCAGAATCCTTAAAGCATGGATCATCCCAGAAGAAACTCTAATCCCGAGCAAAGGTTTTGCAACCTGTGTGAAGCTCCCTGCGCATGTGAATCACCATTCAGGCGTGATTCTGATCATCTGGTTCAGCCAAGTCATCCGAAGCACCACTTTGGAGACTCGCGAACTCCAGACCACCGAGATGAACCCTATTCACCACACCTGGTGAACCGACGACCATCTCAGCCGTCTTAATTTTACGACGATTTGTGGATACACAGCCGTCTTAATTTTTATGATTTATACGATTCGTCGTAAAATCGTCGTAATGTTACGACGATTTTACGACGAATAACACGGATCATCGTAAAATCGTCGTAAAGCCCAGATACAGCCACGTGTGTTTGTCTTATTCGCTTTGTTATACGGTGGGACCTTTACGACGAATTTACGACGAATCCGTCGTAAATTCGTCGTAATCGTTACGTCGAATTTACGACGAATATAAATTCTATATATAGGACCTCACCCCTTCCTCATTTCGTCGCTTATCTCTCCTTCCTCCTCTCTTGCATTCCTCCTCTTTTTGACGCAAAAAAAGGTAATTATTTTTTTTTAATTACTTTAAA